TGTTCCCGAAGTGTTTAATATTGAGTGCACCGGTTTGGGGTGTTGCACCCCACGTTTATTACGATGAGGACTGTAAATCAGCCCCCACTTTATACACAGCGTTTGTTTTTAATACAATTCATTTTATTGTTTCTTTAAAACGATTGATTTACAAAATGCACGAGATGAGCTAATAGAGATGGAAAAATAGACTTTGTTTAGAGCATTTGCGCATTTTCGACTCTTTTCACCTTTGTTTTTAGACACTTACTGCTTTCACTTTTCTTTTAAATGATGCCACTCGATTACGTTATAATACTTTCAATCTTTAATAAGATTTTTTAATTTGTTCACAAATTCGAGCTATTAAATTGTTTTGAATAAGATTTTAAGCAATATTTCCGAAACTGCAAAATATGTGCGGATGATTGAAAAGGCGCGAGGATCACAGCGGCGATGCGTCGGCTTCGTTTGCAAATCAAAACGAGACTGCGCCCAAGCCTAAGACGATGACCCTTTTTACGAGTGTGGCGTGTGTTTGCGTGTGTGGATATGATCTCGCGTGTGGGTGGTGTTGATGTGTGGGTCCTGTGGAATTTGGATTCTGTGTGTCTAGTGTATTGGTGTAGTGGCATTAGGGGGGGCGGCTTATCTCATTTAGAAAGACTTTTTTTGATTTGCACTTGAAAAAAATGATGTGTTCCAATTGACTTGAAAATTRGCATGAGTTGTCACATTTTCCGTTTATAGCGTGGCTAGAGCGTTGTAACTGTATAACAGTGTGACCAAAGTGTGGTCAATGTATTGGCAATTTTATAATAATAGTGTGACTAGAGTTTGGCTAGAGTGTGCAATTGGCAATCCGTAACACGAAACAATAAGTWCATATCAACGGGTATACTTCAACATTTATGTAGGAAATAAGTAGACACTGGAAAATTTGTTGTAAGCAAGTATATATTGATTCAGTTGTATCTTCATTCACATTCAAAAAGCAACTGTCCAGTTTATCCGTTGTCGGGTACGCGTCTTGCATATTCGTCAAGTTGGGATTGACTACGGCTGCCATAGSATGGTTGCATTCTTTCGTATTTATGTAGTTCAAGTTAAAAATGTAAGTAATAGTTGTTTAGTTAGAAATGTAAGTAAATAATAATATATTTATATATAAATATGTCTGTCCGCTTCGAGTCGTCCGTCCTTGTCCGTCTCCTACATTTATATATTATTTTTCATTAATACTCTTTGTTATTTTTCCAAATTTACATTTTTTWACTGTTTCTTTGTACACAACGTCTTCAATACACTTTATTATTTCAATTTTTAGAGTTTAAAAGTTTTCTCTATTGCCTACACTCATACGCACCGAATCACAAGTTTTTTACATTACTGTTAAATTTATATTATTTGCAATCGTTTTATTAAAATTGTCTTTTAATGCTCAAAATTTTTCAATTYTCAAAGTTCGTTTCTGATGAGTCCGCAAATTTGTAGGAACTCTTTTCTTATATAATATTAAATGAAACACTTTTTTAATTGGTATAACGATACGTTTTCCTTTATTAGATACGATTTGCAACTGTACGTTATCGTTTGTCATCAGTAAGCGTTATGCTTTTTCAGAATTGCATTCATTAGATCTGTTCGGATCGTGTTGTCGGAAATTCTCCTACATGTATGTAATAATGAGTCTCGTGTTGGCAAGGGACATTACTCAATATGTAATTGTGAATTAATTAGTATTTTAAAATCACGGCATATTCTAATCGACCCATCTGGTTTTGGTCTTAAGACAATTGGTGACGCCCAATTACTGAATTTAACTGATTTCAAAATTCCGGTAATAATGAGCCTATCTGCTTCCTCACAAATTTTTGAAATTYGTGCGAATAGTATTCGCTTACTTTTATGAAATTTTAGCTTGGCAGTGGCGTRCTTATGAATACTTGCTGGAAAATTTTGTGGTATAAGTTGCATTTGTCAAACTCCAAGGGTTGACAACTATGAACACTGAAATTTTAAAYATTGGAACTCGTGTCATCCATTTATTCCTAAGATTACCGATCCTTTTGTAGATCTGGTTCAGATCCACGCCTAGCCACAGCTTCAGTATTTTTTTGATGAGCTGCCAGTTGTCTGGTTGAGGGATGATTATTATAGKGTCCTTTGCTTCCCCTTGTATAGTTAGATGAACAATTATCCTTATTTTTATTTTTGGAGTTCACTGTTGTTGATTGTGGATAGTAAATACTTCGCACTACTGAAGAACGAGGTGATGGTTAC